TTTATTTTTTTCCTGGTAAAAAAATGTTCTACTGCTGTTCTTAACTTACAAGATACAGCATTTGCCCTCTTGCTGACTGGAATCTTCATTTAATGTCAAAGAACTTTAAAAAAAAAAAAAAAAAAAATCAGCTGAAATTGAAGAAAATTCTTTAGTGTTTTCTTTAGGACCCAGAGTATGATTCAGCTTTGCTGTACTTCTGTGTTTGTGGATAAGCCCCATTCGGGAAGGAGACACTGAAGTGTTGAAAGTATAAATGGCTTGCCCTTCATCACCTAAGAACTGCATGATAAAGATACAAGTCTGAAATTTCTTCATCCTCGTGCAAGCTGTTTTCCATATTTTGTTTCAAATGCTAACTAAAATTCTCTACTTCTAGTAGAACAGGACCCCACAGGGTTTTACTGAGTTTTGATTCTTATAATTAATATTATAATTACTCTAAAATGGATTTCATAACTTGGTGGTGATATGGTCACTTTGTTCCTGGATGAAACTTTTGGTTCTTAGCTACATTATTATTCTCTTTGGAGGTCTTTTTTTTTTTTTTTTTCTCCAACTCATGCTAGCATATTCTATTTAAGGCTGATTATTTATTTTTCTTTCTGTTTTGCTGTTATTTCAGCTCAGTAGAGCAAGTTTCTAACATACAGTACTGCTAAAGAGAAGAAAACATTAATAAAAGGGCTTTTTTTGTTAAAAAAAAAAAAAGGGCAAAAAGCAAGTTGAAACCTAGTATCTCATACAAGGGAACATACGGCTTTAATCCAATAGCATTTTTAGCTTGAAGAAAAAAAAATTGTCTGTGTTTATGCTCATCTGACTTATTTTTGTCTGTCCTGCTGCTATCCCCCTGTTCCTTCATATTTCTGAAGTCTGTGTTTTTCATGGCTATAATCACACACAGAAGGAGCTTCAAATGAGGATGTGGTGAGAGAGAAGCAGGAAATCTTGCAGGCTTTGGATTCCAGCTACATTCTAAATCTTGCTTCATAAGCAATTTAATAAATCAAATAGGTTATATGATGACAAGTATTGTATGGAACTGAGAAAAGAGTGAAAAAAATGCCGAAGTCCCTGAATTTTACAAGTCAGTGTTGTCTTTTCATTCTCAGTAACTATTTATAGTTGTATTCAAGTTGTGCTTTTGTATAGAAATTAGGTCCCACCTTTAGTATTTCTATAAAATAAGATTCTGTCCACATCCATCTGGTTACTACTGAAATGCAGTGAAATAAAGTCCAAGTTTTAAACATTCTTAACATTAGTGCTTGCCCTTTTGAATAGGTGTTTTGAATACTGACTGATACTTGGTTCCCTAAAATTCTACTTGCTGAAAGGCCACAAGCTTTCAACTTTTTTTTATAATGATTAGTAGTGTTTGTGACACTTGCTGTGGAGAATAAGGATAATTGGTTAAAAGAGAAAGGGATTAGAGGGCATTATTTAAAAGATAACTCCCTACAGGTAACAGTTGTACAGTAGTTCTGCTGTGTATGATTTATTGGAAATTTCAGGTTTTTAAAATACCATGTTTCTAGTACTGGATTGACTGCCTTGGTAAATTTTTGAATAATTAGCATGATAATCATAATATGCTTGTAAAAATTCTTCAAATGGGACAGAGTTTCATTTTTTCTAATATAAAAAAATGTTCTAAATCTTAGTAATTAAGAAACTAAATGACAGGGTAATATTGATGACGGTATTAGTTTTTGTTCTTGTTTTCAGGTTTTGTTTTGTTTTCTTTCTGTGCATGTCATCAATTAAGTAGTAGGTTTTTGAGTGGTGATCTTCTTAATTTCTCCAGAAAAAGTTCGGGAAATACAGGAAAAACTTGAAGCCTTCATAGAAGCCCTCCATCAAGAAAAGTAGATTGTTAAGCAGGTAATCATGCTTTGAACATGGAAAGTTCGCTACGTTTTTCTCATTGTACAATATGAAATGGTTAACCTCTTCTAGGTGCATGTTTTCATACAGACTTTGTGAAAATTCTTGTGTTGTTTTATTCCATGCCTGGTTGCTGTTTGCTTCTAATGTGCAAAACTGTACTTTCAGCTTTTATGCTACAAGCAGATGTGAAACTTAGTAGAAATACAGTTACGGGGTAGTTACTCAGGTATTGTGAAACACTGGAGGCTATTTGATTACTCTCAGTTCATTTATTTAATCTATGTTAAGAGCAAGAAGGCACAACTAGCAGGAATCAAAATTAAGGGAACACTTTTGTCTATAAAAGCATTTTGCTTTTTTTTGTTAGCAAAAATATCTGCATGCAGGTAATTTCCAAATTTTTTCTTTCTGTTTTCTCAAAAATGTAAGCTGAAGTGCTGTCATACATCTGCACACATTTTAAAATAATCTTCTTTCTGTTTCAACAGCAACTTTACACAAGAATGCAGCCTTTTCCAGGATACTTTGCACAAAGACAAATGAATAGATGCAGCTTTTGTGTCCCATTCTCTTTCCTGTCTTTTGGAGAGCATCCTGAAATGTTGGAGAAGAAAATAATGTCTCATGGGATTGAAAAGTTCAGTTAAAAGCCACCTGCTCCTTAAATTTTTGAAGCTACGTGCACATGACAGAAGAATCTGACTTGTGTTTCAATGAGATAGCTTGCTAAAGTTGTACATTTAAGGTTTATTTTCCTCCTGAAAGGAAAAGCTCTACCTTGCATGGTAGAGCTGGATCAGATTCATAAAATGATTTTATCTGTTGTCATTTTCTTGCCTGCAAGTGATCCTGGGAGTTTGACATAAAGTTTTAGTATTCATTTGTACATTAAACCACCCTTCTAAGTAATGCTGTTTGTATTTGTTATGCTCTGTGTTGAAACATTCTGTGGTCTGGTACAGATTTAAAAGCATGGTATTCAGATATTGAGAGGAAGTTGTGGATTTTGTTAAACTCCTGAATTCTTGAGAGACATCATCTATGCAGTTCCTGTAATGCTTTCAAGTGGAAGTACAGACTGCTGTTCACTGACACCTTAAAAGGTTTGGCTCAGGAAATAATGTCAACAGCTGCTTCTCTTGCCCCTTCTTTCTCCATACATGTTGTTCCTCGTGAATCACAGCCCATTACATTTCATTGCTGGGGTTGCACAGGCTTTCTGATTTCCTTGTTAACTCCTCCTTTCACCACAGGTACAAAGTAACCTGGTCGAATATATGTGAAATGTAGAAAGATTCTCCATACAATCCCAACTTTTCCAACCTCCTGAACTAAAAAAGGAAAAAAATGTATTTAATTTCATTTTTCTAATAGCTACTGTAAGACCAAAATTGCTTTTAAAAGAATGTTACACTCAAGGTCCTTCCACACTCACTTCATTTCTATCATTCAGTATAGTAAAAATAGTAAGTAGTCTTTCTTTTACTGCCTTCCAGTTTTACCATAGAAATGTCACTTCTGACAAATGTAAGCATGATACATGCTCTGTATCATATGTGCCTGCTGATTAGTCATATACATATTTTTCTGTCTACACACTGCCACAAATGATCTAGTTACACTTCTGAATACTTCTGTGGAAGAAGGTATCAGGCCTGAATCAGTTTGTTTTGCAGGTTTCTGATTATGCACATTGAAAATTTGACCTAGGTTTATTTTTTCTCTTTTGAAAAGGCTATTGATTTTGATGCGTGGCAATTAAAAGAGAGTAATCTGAACATTTTCCAACATTTTCTTTTTAGTCTCAGAGGAAACAATACAAAATTTGGTAGAACGTTCCCCAAATGTTCAGACATAAAATATTCAGTCAAGCGGACAAAAAGTTAACATAGAGCTACTCAGAAAATTGTGTTGAAAGGTTAAATATCTCAAGGTGATCTAACTGAATGTTCTGGGATGTTCTGTTTAAAATTACTTCCTGAAAAATGAGTGTTTGAGAATGGGAAACTGAAAAAATGCCATCATCATTCTCTGAAGATAACTTCAGAAATGTACTTTTTGCATAATACTGAAGGCAGAGTCCTTAGGTTGTATAGCAAGTGAATAAGTCTGTACTTGTGTTAAATCCCTCTTTGTAAAAAAAAAACAAAAAAAAAAAAAAAAATTTTGCATTTACCTAGAGATCACTGTTTGAAACTTCTGTGTGATGTAAATGTTGCAAAATGTCCCATCCAGTGGCCCAGCGCTCATCTCTTTTAGTGTGATGTTTAGTTCCAACTTCTCTGTGCTGCTCATCTAAGACTTAGCATGATGTATTCCATGAAAACTAGCTATTTATTGAATAAAAATGTAACTGAAGGAATAATAAAACGTGGGGTTTGAACACAGTGCTGTCGCACCTAATTCAGAAGTTACTTTGGCCTTCTTTTTCTTATCTGCTAAATTGTGAAAAAGTATCTTGTTAATGATGATAAAATGTCTGATTTAGAAGTGCTGTGTCAGCACTAAATTAGTGGTAAATGTACTAAGTGTTGTCTTTTACAATATAAATGAATTATTACCTTACCATTGATGTAATGCATTTAGACAAAGATGTCTTATGAAAAAATCATCATGTTGAAAGCTTATCTCTCTCAAAGTTTAGATAATGAACTGGTATTCAAAGTATAAACGAAGACTGGTTATGGAGAGTTAGTTTCAGGTGCATTGAAAATAAACATGCTTACTGGGAAAATGGGTTTGGAAATTATAGAGAGCAGTCAGCTTAGCCACCCACGAGTTCAGGAATATATGTTTTTCTTTTTTCTTTTTCTTTAGTTAAAGAACAGTTTTACAAAATCAATTGGGGAAAAAAAATATTTGCTGTGAAACTCTGGTATTGAAGGTGCTGCATATTTGCTCCACAAAGCTTAAATTGTGGACATGATCATGTTAGGATCAGTGAAGTGTTACAACTCTACATTAACTTGATTTCATGATTAAACTAACCAAAAATGGTCTTGACAAACAAGCAATAGGTGATTTTATGGTGGTTTTATTGTTTTTTTATGTTAAGGTTAAAGGAAAGAAGAATTAAGGCAAGTTGTGCTTAGCTCACTAGTAAGTTAGTATCAAGGTAAAAATGGACTTAATAAGTACTGCTAGTTGGCCACTTCGAAAGTGTAAGGAGTATCTTACTAGATAGTTAACTGTAGTTATGTTAAGCAGCATAAGAAGCATGTGCTGGCTATTACAGCAAGTTTTAGATAGCAAATGATTATTTGAACTGTCTCTTACGTTCGTGTGATGCTGAGAAGTATGTTATTCCAAACTGTTTTGCATGAGTTCAGGGTATTTTGCTATATTATATATACTACCTTCAGATTCTTCATAAAGCAATTTATTAGAAAGAACAAAGACTAATCTGTGATCTCTATGGATTTCTGAGATTAAGGAAGAGATCAGCAAATGTAAATGGCATATCCATTTATGGAATAATTATATTTCCAAAGCATGTTCTTTACTGTCATGTGGATGTGATAGGATATTTCTGTGTTTCATGAGCAGAGACACTTATAAGCCAAGGTTTAAATATTAATGGCCAGGGGTTGTTTTGTCACTTCATGAAAAAGATACAAATGGAGCTTTTCAAATCTCAAGAACTATTGCTTCTAAGTGGTCGCTAACAACCTCATCCTGTTATCAGACCATGAGAGAAATTAAAAACCTGGAAATGTGTAAAAGTGTCAAAAGCAAGTGTAGTTAAATGAGAAAGTGAAAATGTCAAGTGAAGTTCTTGGTTATTACAAGCATCCTGATATGCTTTCTTTCACCATCAAGGATATTAATCAATTTTTTGACTGAGTATATTTTGATCCTAAGCTGAATTCTGAAGTATTTCCATAGCTAAAATTTAGAGTATTTAATATTTTAATATCTTAAATGTAACTTGGTAATTCTTAACAGTTCTATTAAAAAAGAGGCAAGAGTTTTCATCATTTCAGTTGAGAAATGTGGAAGTATGGGACCTTTAAGAGTCAGGGACCCTTGAGTCAGTTAGAACTCGTTGTTTATCATGGGCTTTGGTCCTGGAGATACCTGTGGGATACTTTTATGGCATTGAAAGTGTTGCCATATAAACTCAGTCTATGACAATGATACTTGTGTTTTTACAGAGTTGGAGCATGAATTTTCTTTGGAATATGTTTCTAGGTCTTGAGGTGCCTTAGGAAATGTTCCAGTCATGTTTCCTCACATGGATGGGATACACAGTGGTGAAAATTACTCGGATATCGGGGTACCTCACAAGAACTTGTGGCAATCTATTTTACTTTAATTTCCTCAGGAAGCATCTGACTAGAGAACTTCATTGACTCAGAAGTAGAAACCTGCCTATTTCCAAAGCCTGGAGAGAGAGGAGAGGTTTGACTACAGTTCTGATTACAAAGTACCATGCTAGCCTGAAGTACTGTATTTCCAGTTACTGCTGATTTGTGCACAGACATGCTTTGTGATGCTTGATTTCCAGGCTAGGAGATGCTTTATGAACACTCTGATCACTTGCATAATAGAAATAAATATATTTCTCTATAAAGCTTAATAATTGGTTTGAAGGAAAGAAAAAAAAAAAATACACACACCTACTTTCCTCTTGACACGATTTCAAGCAGTCTTAAATCTTGAAGGATTCTATCCTTTCACTTGATAGGATGCACTTGCAGTGACTTAACCATCTCCAAAGCACTTGTTTATTTTTTGTCCGTTTAGAGCTATTGGATCCTGTTCTATTTTGTGTTTAATTCAGTAATCCATCTTCCCTCGCAGAAATCTTCACAGACCACGATCAATCACTTGCTAGCTTTTATTCAGCAAGATAAATAAAATGTATTGTAAAGCCCTTGCAAGATAGATCCAATGTAGTCAGATATCTCTTAAAGCTGTAGTTTGTCAAAAGTGGTCTATGTGTCAAATGTTCTATATGGCTGTGATCACAGACTTTTACAGAACAAGGCTGCTGTCAGGAATTTTTAAGTATAAAATACTCCACAGAAACAAAGGGAAGAAGCTGAAAGGATAGAAATTGTAATGATTGTTTGTTTGCAGTACAGCGTACTGCAGTGCTGGAATGGCAAACGTATGCAGATTTCTGCATACACAAGTCTTGCTTTCATCTGCCATCACCTCAGTGCTGGAGCACATCAGAAGGTGAAATTATCCAAGCTGTTGTTCTGTAAGAAATGCCAAAACTCACAGGCATGATTTTACTTTTGTCTGTAAAAGTGATTCTGGAAGTAGTTGTGAAAGTGCTTCTGCAGTGGCTTGTGTAACAGTGCTAGAGCCAACCTCAGAAACTGTTCTAGGATTTTTTTCAAATTGGCTCTAGATAAAGTTTCTTGGGTTGGTGCTGTCACTCTGTGGGGAAATGTTTCCAGCAGTGGCTCTAGAAGTGATCATGGCAATAAGGCTGAGTCTAGCAGCTACTGTAGTGTTCCTTGGACTGACTCTTGGTGGGGTTTAGGCATGGTTCTGGAGGTGAATCCAGAAATGAGACTGCCATTGGCTATGGGACTGATGGTGGAATTCGCTCTAAGTGCCATTCCAGAGCAAATTCCAGAAGTATTTCTAGCCATTTCTGCTGAAAAGCTGTTTACTGTGCACAGCTATGTATGTTTGTGGTTTGCCTTGCAGAACCCTGGTGGAAGGCTTTTAATCTGCTGCCCTTGGTGTGCCTGTAGTCTTAAGGGCTTCCAGAGCAGTGCATCCTAACCTCTGTGGTGATTTCACATTCTGACTTCTTTTTTTCTGACCTTGGATTATACCATTGCTAATATAGGGGACGATGTAAAGCTTCAGTTGAAAGGGTATTTTATTGTAAGTTTTATAACAGAAATAGCTTAAGTGTTGTATCTTCTTCAAAGTTCTAGAGACTTTTTTTCAGGAAAGAGCTGGACATCTCTGGACAGGACTGAC